TATATTCATTTTAAAAAATCAGATAATTTGAACTTTAACAATATTTTATAAGAATGATCAAAATAAATTAAAACTAAAGATAAAAATTTTTTTGATTTAATCTTTTAAAAAATCATTTTGATCTTTTTAAATATTTTTAAATTTTCAAACCCATGATTAGCCATTTATTTTGGAATTTAAAAATTTTAAGTTGTTCAAATGAACATACAGTAAATAATACTTGTATTTATAATTTTGAAAATTGTAATAATTGTGGATTAAATAATTTAGGACAATATGATCTTACAGATGAATCAAATGATCCTTTTTTTGATGAATTAATAAATAATTCAGAAGAAAATTGTTCAGAAATTAAAAATATTTCATCAACTTTAAACAATTCTAATGATGAAGTAAATAATAGTTCTTTTAAATTATCAAATAATTCCGAAAGAGATTTTAGTAATAGAAAAAGAAAAAATAATGTCGGCTCTGCCTTTGAAGAAGAAAAATGTGTTAAAATTTTTAAACCTTCACCAATTAAAACTTTTTGTGATTATAATAATTCAAGTAAAGAAAAGTCTCAAGATAATTCTAAAAGTTTTGCTTCGTTTCAAAACGATAATGAAAAAGCTTCAAAATTTAAACTTATGACACAAGATACTTATAAAGAAATTTTAATCTTTTTTAATAATGAAATATTGTTAAAATCAAAAATTAAAGAAATTCTAGAAAAAATTTTGTGTAGAAGCTTAATAACTAAAGATAAAAATTACTATGAAATTCTTTATAAAAAACTTATAGGACGTAGTTCAAAAAAAACCAAAGTAAATCTTTATAATATGGATTGTTTAAATGTTAAAAAAGACAAAGGTCTTCTATCTTACTATGAATATTTATTATTGTATGTTGTTTTTAATATGTGTTCTAACCATAGTGAAAATGATATGGAATTTGAATTAGATCTTTTAAACAAATTTATTGAAATTTTAAACAGATCATTTGATTTCATTATTTATTATCATAAATATACAAAATTAATTGATCTAATAAATAAGTGTGAAAGCATTGATCAAACATTAACTGATGATTTGATTAATAC